ATTTCATAATATTAACCAATTCATAACTCAAGAACAAAAATCTTTGTTCTTTAAATTTAAGAATCTTTTAACATATTTATTGTCTTTTTCATATGTACCTATTTTATCATTGAAGGATCTTTAAGTCCCTCTTATTAAGATTGTCTTTGCAAGTATTCAAATACTTGAATATATTAATTAACTACTATCCAAAATAATAAATAACATGTTATTTACAAATGTTAGACTTTGGAACATCATTAGTAATGGCGTATGCAGGAACACTTATAAAAAGTTATATATAGTTTTATTATTAATTATTTTTCCCTAATTATCATTATCAATGACAGATAATCAGGACACTCTTAGAATATGGTGAATTATTAATATCTCTACCACAATAAATACTCCAGTTCCTGCACAACCAATCCTTTAATAACTTATGGACCAAATACAATTCTTCACTTAAGTAGTGCTGAGAAATCAACAACTGAGAGAAAACCCACCTCAATGCATCATAGCTCCTCCTCAACAAGTTGCTACATCTCTCCACTCACCTCTACTATATCAGGCCTACTTAATTTTTGTATATGATTACCCTATCTAGAATAATATAAACAAAATGATATAATAGAGGGTTTTTAATCTCAAAGGTCATCGAGTCATTCCACGAAATATACATGCCTTTTATGATGTTTTAGCAAGAAATGGTTTTTTTAAGCATCAATCTAAGTAGTGAAAGAAAAAGGTTATTCGTCTATCATGTTATCTTACACCAGAGACTTCAAGTTCCCTTGAATCCAATAGACATAGGAGTGACAAATAGCTAGAAGAACACCCATCCAAGAGGATGTATAGACTCCTTATTAGATTAGAGATTCTTATATATCAAGACATGTGCTGAACATTTATATACCTAGAGACTATATCGCCACCAAAATAACTATAGATAACCATGATAGACTTACAAATTCCAGGGAACATATATAAAATATGTGCAGTAGTCTGGAGCTAGTCATTTAGGACAGTTACACCATATACAAGATCATCCCTACGACCTTCAAAGGTTTAGTAAGAGCCTAATATAGTAACTTGGAATCACGATCAGTCGTTAGCTTCAATAACCTTTGTGCCAAGCTAGTGGCAAAAAAAGAGTTACACTGAACTCTTTAAAATCACCCAAGTGGAGAATGAGTCCAAAAGGACATACCTTAAGAGGTTCAACGAAGAAAGTTGTTGCAAACCCTATCCTTCTCCGGGCCAAAGAGGAGATTGTCATTTATAACCATCTGAGAGTGTCCTCTAATAATGAGTATAGTCCTAGCTTGGACTATACCCATTCTAAGATTTTGCTAGGCTATTGAACTTCATTATAACCTATTGCTCCTTTTTTTTTTTAAAGTAGGTGGACTTTCCCCATCATGATATTTTTTTATTGGCATATTTTGCTTATTGATCAAAGTAAAAAAGTAAGTGATTAAGGATCTCCCTTCACTGCTACTAATTAAGGTATAACACTACTTAAATACCCTGATTGTAGACTTCTCATTTAAAATCATCAAAAACTTTTCAAACAAGGTAAAAAAGGTCCATCTATTAGGATGAATCTGAGCAAGACTAAGATTGTAGTACCTTAGAATATCCTTTACAAATCCTAATAAAGAAAACAAGTATTCAAACTTATATAAGTATAGGGGGCAGCAATGATAATATCATTCCTACTATATTTGCGAGTAACCTAGGAATATGATCACTAACTTTAGGGATGATCATTTTGTAATCTCCTAACTGACTAGCATTAGCTAGAGTTACTTGGTCCCAAGATACTGAACTTTATACATCATCCCCAAGAGTCCTAGACAATCTCAGTTATCCCCTCAAGTTTGAATCCTCATGAAGAATGTCACCATCCATTCTTTCAGTAAAAAAAGGTTAAGCATTATCTCTTTTAGATCTATGGTCAATCCTTATTGCTAGAGATCTTCGATTAGTGGTTTTAATTTCAGGTCTGAAACTGAAATAACCTTCAGGAGATATATTTCCTTTCCCTTTTTTAGAAGTCATAATGATGTAAGGAATAAGAGATTGAAATAGGGTTTACGTAAATGCAAGAGAAGAAAATATGATTTACCTAGCCAAAGAAATCCCTTATACTATAAAATTGATCTTTTATTGTGAAAAATTAAAAATTTATAAGCTAATAAATACTGAAAAAAAGGTTTTGTAAAAGTAATATAAGGGAGAAAAGATATAAATGAATGACAGATGACATCTTATCTACAACCATATGAGGGTTAGAAGCCTACAATATTTATTACGTGTTATCGGGTGGTCTTCCTAAAATATTTTTACTTTATTTTCCTATAAAATCTTTTAGATTAATCAACAACGCTTCTTCACAAAGAAAGAAAAGACATGTACTGACCATATATCTCTCTAAAAATTTCTTAAGTCTTCAATGCAAGATTACACATTAAAGGCTTGGAGGGGCAATTAATGAGTAATGATTTTTGGTTAAGATTTTTATAAATAGAATAAATCTTAACCAAATAAAATGGGTTTGACAAACACACTAGACCCGAAGAACTTGAACTTGGCTGTCGACCAAGCCTAATGTAGCTTGGGGTTGGTAAACAAGTCAGATCTAAAGGATTTGAGCTTGCTAGTCAACTAAACCCAATATAGCATGAGTCTGGCAAACATGTCAGATTCAAAGAGTTTGGACTTGAAAGGTAGTCAAATTTAAAACAGTACGGGTCTGCCAAACATGTCATATCCAAGAACGTGCGCTTGACAATTAGCCACACTCGGGGTAGTGTAAGTCTAGAAAACATGGCAGACTCAAAGTATTTAATCAATTGTTACCAATTTTTAAGACTATATGTCTGATCCTAGACAAATTGACATGTCTAGAATAATAACTTACATTGATGATGTAATCTTCCTATACTTATATGTATATACAATGTTCTTAAAAGATCTATCATACTTATTGTCTTATTAATATAGATAAGAAATATTTGTTTTTCATTAATGCTGTCGAAAGCAGAGAACTTTCCAGTTCTTTTCTTATCTGAAAACGAGAAGGTTTAATATGTATAAATACCTCTTGAACCATTCAAATAAGGATTCATAACTTTTTATCTCATAAGATAATTTTTTATAGATTTTAAAGCATTACTCCACTTAAAATTCAAGAACAAATATTTTTATTTTTTAAACACAAAAATCTTTTAAAATATTTATTATTTTTTTATATATATACTAATTTTATCATTACATTATCTTTTAAATATAACTGTCTTTCCAAGTATTATCCGAGTTAATCACATCTTGAGTTGACTTCGAGGGTGTAGTTTAGGAGCAATGCTTTTTCTTCGTATCGTAAACCGATGAGAAAATGAAATTTTCAGCGAAACAAGCTTATAAGTTTACAGTACACAATCTTCGAGGTTGTTGGGGAACGCAGTTGAACCTGCATTCCTAAAAAATTCAAAATTTTTTTATTTTTTATTTTTTTAAAATTTAATATGATTTGTATGTTTTAAATCGCTTTTATTTTTTTAAAATTTAATATGGTTTGTATGTTTTGAATCGCTTTGATGTGCTAATATTAAAAATAAAATATCATTAACATGTATTTCAATACAAAAAATTATTTAAAAAATAATCACTACCACGTTATCAACCATACTCAATCAACTTGTTCAATCAAATGTGATTTAAATGGATAAAAACCAATCACAATCGAGTACGATGATATCTTCTTCCACTTTGACGTTTTTTGTTTAATTTGGAAGGATAGGTATTAGGAAGAGTTCACTTGAGATGATTGCCGTCCTGCTAGCTTATCGGAAGCAGGCGTTCACGGAAACCAGCCCAAAAATAAATCACAAGAACTCCGACAAAGATTTATTTATTTGCGAAAGTACATGGCAACATCATAGCTTTAAAATAAGTTAGAATTAGAGCCGTTTGTTTTTTCAGTTTCAAATAAAAGCATTTAAAAAATTTTAATTATTTTTTTTATTTCAAATTATTATTATTATTTGTGTTTTCAAAACTATGTGGATGTCGTATGGAAGTAGCCCTTCCCTGATCCCACATCTCCACCCACTGTTCTAAGATTTGAATATAATCTCTTTTTAGTAGAAATTCCGGATATTGATTATTAGATATCCTTTAAAATTGAGTTTCAAATATTTAAGATGTGGTAACATATCATTATGGTAGTTATTAGCTCAATATTTACATTTTTTATTTATACTGTACAAAACATGCTATCTTTGGCCAAGCTAGTAATAATAAATATTAAATATTTTAACCTGTATGCTATTATCTTATTATTAATTATGTCTTAAACATTTTAATTATTATTTTTCAGACATGATTAGTATTAAATAAAATATCATTCGCTTATTCATTTATTATTAAAAAACTGTTCGATATTGTGTTTTGATGCGTTTGGGATGAAAAAAATTAAATTGGCTTTTTTATTGTTTTTTAAGATTTTGATATATTAATGTCAAATCAAAATCTATAAAAAAATAATTTTAATATATTTTTAATTAAAAAGTATTTTTTAAACTTAACAATTTCACCGAACTTTTAGAATATAAAGTAATAGTAATTTTAATATATTTTTAATTAAAAAGTAACTTAACAATTTCACCGAACTTTTAGAACATAAAGTAATAAAAAATTTAGTATAAATTAACACTAAAATTACTCTTTGGAATAAGTTTAGACTTATTTTTATATCTTGAAAAAATAAAACAGGTAGGAATCAGATGTAAATTGGAGGTTTTAGAAGCATCACTAACAATGGATGGGGAGGGGCATTATCTGATTAGAATTATGTTGGGAGAAAATTTGTTAAAATCAAAAGGTTATACGCATGATTGATAATAAAGCCATATATTATGGGCTAAATTAGGTTTCCCCGACTTCCAATATATCATCTGTAATTATCATCAGCTTATCACACTCACAACCCCTCTGCTCTTTTTCCATCGCTCTTTCCCCCCCCCCCCCCCGCCCCTGACGGCATCAGTTCACAACCTGCTGCAACAACAATCTCAGATCGCCACCGCCGTCACCACGCCATCATACGGATAGTGATCATCCCAGCGCCGCCATCTTCCAACATCAACAACCCTCACGCGACCCTCGCTGCCTCCATCGTCAACGATTAGGAGAGAAAGGTTTTAGATTTTGAAGGGATAGAAGGCAATTGGAGATAAAAGGATCCCAAATCCTTAACTTATCAAAGTCTCATAGGTATCATTTTTTTCCTTTATCCTTGTTTGCTAAATGTCCATGCTTCACTGGTTGGGTGCTTGAAAATGCATACTAATGAATGTTATTAATATAACCTTTTGGAGATTATTATCATGTATCTCTGAGTGTTCATACCGTTAAAATTGACACACAAAAAAAAAGAACTCTGCTTGAGGTTGATATACGGAGATGAGTCTGCTGAGGTTCAAGGCTATGTGCTAATTGGTGTGAAGGTCTTGTGCTGAATGCTTGAATTTTTGGGGTGGAAATACTTAAGTTAAAGCTTCAAACTTGGAGTTAAAAATAATTTAGGCTAGAAGTTGTTGTTTTGTTTTTGTTCACATATGACCTGGTTTTGATTTTTCATTGTTTTGCCTCGTCTATTTTGATAATTGGTGGAGATAGGAAGCATGCTTGTTTGTGTGTTCGGTTTTTTTTTTTTTTGAAGTAAAAATCTTTGGGGTAAATCGATGTTAGCCAATGATGATGCCAAATGGGAGTTAGGCGTTTGAGCAAATTTCAATTGCTTGTTTTGTTTCATGGATTGGGGTGATTTAATTTGATGATCTGTGCTGAAATTTTAAGTACTTGAGATGGATCATGAATAAAATTTCAGGTTTGATTTATAGTGATATTGCATAGTTTTTTGAGAGTATTTGTGATGTAACATGGGTTTTCTCTAAGGCTCAATACCTGAGGCTGACATTGATCTCTCCAGGGCAGGTTCACGCATTTTTTGGATCATGAATAAAATGTGGGCTTCACGTGTATTTTCATGATTTTGAGAATTTTTTAGCTAAAGATCGGCTTTTTGATTGATTTCTGGACAAAATAGGTGCTGCCACTGTTTTCCTTTTTTTCTTTGATTGAGCTTGATTAAAAAATTGCTTGTTTTGGCTTGTAAAACAAATGTGGTTCCCATGCATTTTGAAAATAAAAGTGGAATGCTAAAGTGCTTTTCTTGAGTTCTAAAGAATGAAACTGAGGTCTGTATATTGATGCATTTCTGATTCATAAAAATGTTAACGTGAATTGTATGGTTGCCACTCACGGATTTATGGAGATAGGAGTGTGAGATTATGGTTGCCACTCACGGATTTATGGAGATAGAATTGTATGGTCTAGTAGATGACTATCTGCGGAGTCCACCCATCAAGTTACCCTTCTCCAAATCATGAATCTTCATTATCATAAGTGATATTTTCCATGAGAAATGTACAACAACTCCATTTTATATTACAAAAAAATAAAATAAAATGGTTGTGGATTACATTTAGACCGGGCTTGGACTGGAACCACAAACATCTCAATTCTATATATATATATATATATATAACAAAAGACTCTAATAGTTAGATTAAAATCCACTCTCCTCAGTAGCGTTTTATCAAACATCTTGAACCAAACATAACTCCTCATTTATGATGATTAATATGCTGTGTGAAGGAAGGGAAATTGAAGGAGTTCATGCGATACTTTATGATGATTAAGCATATTTCGAGTTCCAGGTCGAGGCAGGAATTAAATTATAAATGAAACCTCAAACTTTCTTCTAAACTTCCTGCTGTAATGGTGTTAAAAACCAATCTCGTGCGTCACAGAAATATTTCAAATGGAGACACAGAAAAGTCAACCAGAAAAACAGCAATCACCTGCATCCCTGGATCCTGCTGTAACTTCATGTCGTAAAAAGAAGAGGGATGATGCTACTTTTTTGGAGGATGTGAAGGATCACATCGATGAGTTCATTCATGCGTCTATGGATGAGCACAAGTCTTGTTTTACGAAGACAATCAAGAAGGTTTGTTCCCACTTTTAAGTTGAATGTTTAATTGCTAATTGCCAAGTACCAACTGACAAATTTGTTGTGTAAATCTCCGAGTGCGTGTTAACTGGTTACTGGCTGGGTTTATTTTCAGATGTTTGGATTGTCAAAGACTGTTGCTGAGAGGAGTTCTGATGCGAAGGAAGTTGAAAGTTCTCTGCCTCTTCGAACTATAGTGGCAGAGTAGAATGTCTTCACCCTTACTGTAAATTTGTAATAGCTCATGATGCTAGTTTGAGTTATGGTTTAGTTTGTCATAAAAGAGTTGCGACATCAGTATTTAGTGCAGCTTGTTAATTTCACATTACTATTAGATATATCACCGTTTTTTACTTTACAGTTCTGGGAGCCTAACCTGAAGCTTGAGCCCTGATGGTCAAGCAAGATCATTTCTGATCACGATACCTTTCTCAGTTTAATGTTTACCTCCCGCTATGATAATTATGGATATGTGACTCAGCTGTAAGTAGCAGTCTAATTGAGTTGGGCTTGTACTTCGGGCTACTTAGAATTTCAAGTCGCTCCGAATAGAGGTCGTGCACAGGCAAGCAAAACTGACGCTACCACCAAAATGGGAAAAAATCAGGCAAAGGTTTGAGGAAAAATGAATAGGGAACAAAAAAATACTAGTGAAATATCGAATACTCAACGGCCACAGTTGTTAAAACTGGGGAGGAGCAATGTTGGCTGTGAAATGTGTAGTCAGCATTCAGTTGAAAGGGATCATCTATCATTCACTACTGTTCAGCTTTCTGGCATTGATAGACCTGTGGGGGATTGGTGTATTGGCCTAAGAGGAATATGAAGGGGAGGAAAGGAAGAAGATTATTCGGTCTGTCGAGCCGAGGTAAGGTACAAAAATTCTCCAGGAAGCGAAGGACAGAACATGTTTCTGAGCTTTGTGAAAAAATGTGGAACTCTGATTAGTTTCTTCGGACAGCCCACAATTGGATACAAAATAGTATTTCATCACAGTGAGAGAATACTATCACTGAGTTGTTGTTGATAAACATAACAATCAGTTCATTAAATAAAAAAACAAATTAAAAAAGAAGAAGAAGAAGACAACAATTAAAAATCAGAAGATTGATGAATAGAGGGGCATAAAAAATGAAGATAAAAAGGAAGAGAAGAGAATTAGTAAACCTTCAGATGTGTAATCATCACAAGGCTCAAAAGGGAGTCGATAACAAGTAACTGCAGAGAGAGGTATGAAGATGAAAGACGAGCAGTAAACGAGTTTCGATTCAGATTGAAAACTAATATATAATTTAAACAAGGGACATCATGATTATCCCCTCAGGCTTTCGTTTCCACATGTTTCTCTTTTTGCCGCTTCCAGTCTTTCTCCTACATATCCTCTCTCTCGCACAACACTGCGGTCGCTCCCTTTCTTAGCTATCAGGTAGGTAAGACGGCGCCCGCCTTATATCGTTAGGGTTTTGGGATTTTCGGTTTTCTCCTCATCTTTTAATTTTTACCCCCAACATCGACGGGATTGGTACTTGGTGGACCGTTGAATTTACTGATTTCCGACCACAATGACAAGTGTGAACCGACACTTTTAGGACCGTTGGATTTTCAAAGGTCCAAAATAACCATATCACTGCTTTATCTGTCTTCTCTCTCGTTCATCTTTTCGCCCTTCTCTCTGTAGTTCTTACCTTCCATTCTCTTGACCTCCCAAACTTTCACTTTCATACCAGTTGTCTTTCTAATTGTCAGATTTTTTTTATTCATTTTTTTCCATAAATCATTCGAACACCCAAAACATTACTCATTTCTAAGTTCAAAACCTCACACCACATGTATCTCCTTCTTTCTTCATCTTGGGTTTCAATGATTCATAACCTAGAAATTGTTTACAACCCGTTGCAATCCACGCCATCCGCAAGGTAATCTATGTTTTTTTATTCCAAAATTCTTTCCATTCCTTTTTATTTTTTTCTAAATGTCTGCATATTGTTTTGTTTTAGGAACTCCAGATATAACACTGTTCTCTTCTGGTAAGCACAAAGAAATCTCGATTCTCTATATTTTGGTATACCCTAGACCACAGGACTTTGATAGGTTAATTTAATTTTGTTTGCTTGTTTTAAAGTTCTACTAAACATGGTAAAAAAATTTGAAGTCATGTTCCTGTTTATGTTCATATGACATGATCACAATATATGTCCATACTTGCATTTCAATTTCATGTTATACAGTGACATTTTGGTATATATTGCAAGCAATAAGCAGTTCAATTTCAATAGTAACATTAACATTTTTTCAGCTAATGGCCATAAATTTTATGTTATACAACAATCTATCACGTTAATCATATGTTGGCAGGAAAATTTATTTCATATAAAGCACATATGCTTAAACATGTGTGTTGTTACATATATGTTATTATCCATTTTAGAATCCCACATAAACATGTAAAGAAAAAAAAGAAAAAAATTAAAAAATGGTGAAGATATATATATTAGTGAGAAGAACACGAAGAATACCTAAAAAAATACCGAAGAATACCTAAAAAAATACCAAAGACAAGAACACGAAGAATACCTAAAAAAATACCAAAGATTGATTGAGGAAGATCAAAATATATAAAATTAAAAAAATTAACAATTTAAATTTGACTAATAAAGGCCTTATTGGCCGGACAAATTCAATCTAATGAGAAAAAATTAAAATTAGATGTTTAAGAACTCAATTGAAATTTTTAAGATTTAATTAAATCGATTAAGGGTTTACCGCAAGAAAAATTAAGTTTTGAAGTCAATTTAGGCTTTAGTTGGAATAAATTAAAGTCTAAGATCAAATTGTAATTTTAAATATTTAATTTGGTTAAATCAAGAGCTTAATTATATAAATATTAAAGTTTGACGGACAATTATTAACTTGATTGAATAAATCTAAAACTAAACACCAAAACAAAAAAGGAGCATGAACGCAGGGTTTGAATTTGATAAATTAAGGGCCAAATTAAAAATAATTAGAAGTTTGATTGTCATTTGATGGTCAAAATGCCCGAATAAAAAAAAAACAAGGACCGTGATGAAAAATGTGCTAAACTTTAAGGCTGATAATTGAGTTTTGACAAAGAGAAAATCACATGAATTAGGAGTTTAAGAGAAAATTATAGGTGCAATTAAAAGCAATTGGAAGAACATGGACTAAATTAAAGTTTGTTAAATCTAAAATTAAAAACAAAAAAAATCTTAATTTTAGGGTTTAACCTAGACGATGCGTCATTCGACCATCGTTTAGCTTCTTCTTTGGCAGTTTTGGTTGATCAAGTAGGCACCTTCCGGCTAATGAATGTGGTGTTTACAATCACTTTTAGAGCTGTAACCACTACCATTCAACTAAAAAACACCTTTTTTAACCAAGATTAGTTACTCCTATGAAATTTTTACATTCCATTTTCTTCAAAGAACTCAAAAATATTTTGTCCTTGATCAACTAGTAATGCATTTTTATATTCGGGTTGATCGAGTTAACACTTTTAAATAAACGAATATGGAGCTACATATCACCAAATTGAATAAATTTGGAAACAAATAAAAGGTATGTACCCCATTTATCAACTTTGGGTGGTCTTAAACAAAGATGATATTAGAGTTTTCGACGAAGTCTTAAAAGTGGTAATTCAGTCATCGATGGTTGTGACACCTATTTCGTAAAATCACTAATCTTTTTTATATGTTCACACTTTAAGCATTCTCAATGAGTTCTTATCAAAGGTTGATCGTGTTTCTTTTAAGATCAAAAAGCAAAAAATAAACTATTTGGTCCCCAAATTTACGAAAACCACTGGAATCTTCAAAGCCAAGTTTGTTGCAAAACCATCATTGTAAAACCAGTATAGATACAGAGCTCACAACGATAGACATGCCAAAAATAATCTCTCATTTTGATCCAAGAGCCAAGTTTTGATGAAAAAGGATCAATATTTGATTAAATCCATTAAAATCCTAGCTTGAAACATTATAAATACCCCCTGGAATATCAAGGTAAAGGGGAAGAAAGGTGAGGAAATGATTGATAAAGAAACTTTAAAATGTGAAGGTTTAAGAGCCTAGTAGAAGGATTTTCTTAACTTTGAGAGAAAGTAACGGCATGGAAAAGAAGGAACCAAAGAGCAACAACCGTTGTTTGAACTTAAAAGGTAAAAAAATTCATTCATCCTAGTAGATAATGTTCATGAGACACATCTCTAGCATGTTCTTTCATGTTTTATGGTGTTTTTAAACATTTGTTGTATTATATTAATTTTAGCTTTGATTTTGATTAATGTATAGAATGTCATTTTTTTTATTTGTTTAATCCTATTTGGAGTTTTCTGTTAATATTGCTAAAGTTTGTTGCAAAACCATCATTGTAAAATCAGCATAGATACAGAGCTCACAACGATAGACATACCAAAAATAATCTCTCATTTTGATCCAAGTGCCAAGTTTTGATGAAAAAGGATCAATATTTGATTAAATCCATTAAAATCCTAGCTTGAAACATTATAAATACCCCCTAGAATATCAAGGTAAAGGGGAAGAAAGGTGAGGAAATGATTGATAAAGAAACTTTAAAATGTGAAGGTTTAAGAGCCTAGTAGAAGGATTTTCTTAACTTTGAGAGAAAGTAACGGCATGGAAAAGAAGGAACCAAAGAGCAACAACCGTTGTTTGAACTTAAAAGGTAAAAAAATTCATTCATCCTAGTAGATAATGTTCATGAGACACATCTCTATCATGTTCTTTCATGTTTTATGGTGTTTTTAAACATTTGTTGTATTATATTAATTTTAGCTTTGATTTTGATTAATGTATAGAATGTCATTTTTTTTATTTGTTTAATCCTATTTGGAGTTTTCTGTTAATATTGCTAGATGTTTAGAATATGCTTGGATGTTTAGATTAAATGAAATAAAGTGATTTGAAAATTTGATAGTAAGGTTATTGATGCTTTTTCTAGTTTGTTAGTGTGTGTTCTTGGACATGATTTAGGTTCCAAATGTGTAAAGAATCAGTTTTGAATTAAAATTTATTGTTTTTATAGGTTATTTTAAGTTGGCAATTTTGAAGTTTGGAACCTCTAGCATGAATTTGATGTTTTGATGATATTCATTAGTTTTTTTATTCAAACATATTTGATTATTGTTGTATAGCTTGTTAGATTGAAGAACACATGTTTTAGAAGTAAAAAATGCTTGTTTTGGAGGCTTGACAGCGTGCTAGGTTTCTAACCTATTTATGGGTTATTAGGTAGTGCTCTTTGTATTCTTATAAAGAGTATTGCCTTGACTCTATGATTTGGATCAATTTTAGTGTAATTCTTTGCGCTAAACCATTTA